AGTTCATAATGAGGTTGCCGATGCATTGGCCACCTTGGCATCGATGTTACACCACCCAGACAATATTTATGTCGACCCATTGCACATTCAGGTTCGTGATCAGCATGCTTATTGCAATGCGGTAGAGGAGGAAGTGGATGGTGAGCCATGGTTTTATGACATAAAGGAGTACCTCAAGATGGGGATATACCCGGAGCAGGCCACCGGAGACCAAAAAAGAGCCATTCGGCGCTTGGCGAATGGTTTCTTCCTCAGTGGAGGAGTGTTGTACAGAAGAACCCCAGATTTGGGATTGCTAAGATGTATAGACGTCGGTCAAGCCACGACAATTATGGCAGAAGTGCATGCTGGAGTTTGTGGGCCGCATATGAGCGGATATGTATTGGCAAAGAAGATTCTTCGAGCAGGGTACTATTGGCTCACTATGGAGCATGATTGTATCAATTTCGTTCGGAAATGCCATCAATGTTAGATACACGGAGACCTGATTCATTCTCCGCCGACAGAATTGCATACAATGTCAGCGCCGTGGCCATTTGTCGCATGGGGCATGGATGTCATTGGGCCTATTGAGCCGGCAGCGACCAACGGCCATAGGTTCATTCTGGTGACCATCGACTACTTCACTAAGTGGGTCGAAGCTAAAACTTTCAAGTCGGTAACAAAGAAGGCAGTCGTGGATTTTGTCCACTCCCATATCATCTGCAGATTTGGGGTCCCAAAAGTGATCATCACGGATAATGGTGAAAATCTTGACAGTAATTTGATGAGGGAGGTATGTCAACAGTTTAGGATTGCACACCGCAATTCCACCCCATATCGTCCCAAGGCGAATGGAGCAGTTGAAGCAGCCAATAAGAACATCAAGAAGATACCGAGGAAGATGGTAGAAGGATCTAGACAATGGCATGAGAAATTACCCTTTGACTTGTTGGGTTATCACACTACAGTCCGGTCTTCCGTAGGTGCAACTCCTTATTTATTGGTGTACGGAACTGAAGCAGTAATACCAGCAGAGGTCGAAATTCCGTCCCTCCGAATTATCACTAAAGTCGGGATTGACGATGATGAATGGGTCAAAACTCGACTAGAGCAGTTGAACTTAATAGATGAAAAAAGATTGGCAGCAGTGTGTTATGGCCAGTTGTATCAGAAGAGAATGGCGAGGGCATACAATAAGAAGGTGCGCCCTAGAAAATTTGAAGTAGGGCAGCAAGTATTGAAACGGATCCTCCCACATCAGATCGAAGCAAAAGGCAAGTTCGCCCCAAATTGGCAAGGGCCTTATGTTGTGACCAGAGTGTTATCCAACGNATCCCCCAAGCAAAGAAAACTGGGGCAGAAGTTAGGTTTTAAAGTTTCAAAAAAGGTTTGATTCCAAGAGTTGTAGTAGTTCACCCATCAAAGTTATTTTGAATTTTTGATAGCCTTTCTTTTAGCCCCACACCAAAACCAACATCGATGTCCAAAAAAGACCTCCCGATCAATATCCGAGAGGTGCCAAGTCAGACAAATGAAAGCCGAGAATAATGCACTGATCCCCAACAAGAAGAGGATCATAAACTGGAAATGAATTGATAGCCGAAAAGAATCTCCAGAAGAGAGAGTCATATCGGCAGCACTCCGATGAGAGAAATAAAATGAGAGAGTCTTATCGGTGAAAACCTTCACAGGCACCATAAGACGACGGGAGCTGAGGGAAAGGAGAGAGTCTTATTAGTGAAAACCCCTCGAAGGGCACTATAAGGCGACAAGATAGATTGGCAAAAAGGATCCGCATTTGCGAAGAGGTGGGCACCTATTTATCCCCAGCAAGTGAGGCCATCAGGAAGATTGATTGATACAAATAGACTGGGTCGATTAATCCGTAATGCACGACATGATCGTTGAGACCAGTCATACCGTCCAGATATGTTCTTTCCTTTTCTTCTCCCCCAGCATTTGCTCAGAAAGATTTTTCTCTTTTTCTATCTTTTCATTTCTTTGTCTAAAAAGACTTTTTCCAGAAATTTGTTTCGAGAAGGATTTTTCAGAGTTTACTACCAGGGGCCGAAATGGTACAAAGCAAAATGCGAAGGGGACAGGCCAAAGTCAAGGCAATAAGACAAAAGGCGTTTGTTGCAAAACCAAATGACAAACTGGCCTAGAAAGTTAAGGGGAACATGAAGAAAAGCGGGAAACAACGGTTGAGGGACTTATGAACCAAGTTCCAAGAAGATCCCCGGCAGAACTTCGATAGATCACTGACCAAGGTCCAAGGGGGTCAGACAAAACAGAAAGGGGGAAGGAGGAAGAGAGAATTAATCCGCAACAAGATAACCCTAACAATCCTATCCTCAATAACGTTATCCCCGGATGATAACATTTTATGCCTTGCAGTGCTAGGAGAAAATAAACTTTTAAGGGAGTAGTTTTGGAGTTGAAGAGGACTCCCCCATCATGTTTTAAAACAAAAGAGCGGGGAAGGGATAAATGGAAGCCATCCCCAGCAGGAATATCATCCCCGGCAAAAATACCATCCCCAGCAAGCAACTTTATCCCCAAACAGTTTTTTGGAGCACAGAGCAAGGGAAAGGGAAAGAAAAAATCATCCTCCAGCAGGAGTGACACGATCACTCACCATGTTAAAACTAACAAAATTTTCTTTGATTTCTACAGGAAAATAAAGATTGATGATGGCAGAAAGACACGCCACAAAGAAGGTCACCAAAACCGGGGTAGAAAATTTTCTGCCGTTGTCAAAAATTTTCTCGGAGGAACGAGGAAACAAATCCAAATACTTTTCAGTCTTTACATTTCATGTCCTAGGCGCCCACTAGTATAACGAGGGAATACATTTATGTTTTTTCATTTAATGCCCTAGGAGCCCACCAGTATAACGAGGGAATACATTTCTGTTTTTTCATTTCATGTCCTAGGCGCCCACCAGTACAACAAGGGAATACATTTCTGTTAATGTCCTAGGCGCCCACCAGTATAACGAGGGAATACATTTCTGTTTTTTCATTTTCATGTCCTAGGCACCCACCAGTATAACGAGGGAATACATTTCTGTTTTTTTCATTTCATGTCCTAGGCGCCCACCAGTATAACGAGGGAATACATTTCTGTTTTTTTCATTTCATGTCCTAGGCGCCCACCAGTATAACGAGGGAATACATTCTGTTTTTTTCATTTCATGTCCTAGGCGCCCACCAATATAATGAGGGAATACATTTCATATTTTTGCATTCAGGCGCCCACCTGTATAACGAGAGGAATAATTTTTAGTCTTATACTTCAGGTCTTGAAATCAATAACCCACCAGAAGGTAATAAAATAGAGAGTTATAACAAAAAATCCCCAGCATAAGTCCAAATTCAGAAATCAGAAAGAAGGCAGAGTGTTACAACGAGAAGTCCAGCACAAATTCAAGCGCATGAGTCAAAGAGAAGATAAGACAAATCTCAAGAGAAGCGGCCTTTGAACCTCAATTGTTCCCAGCATAACAAATCTGATGAAGAAAAGTCGTATCCCCAGAGAAACCTCTGAAAGTTTAGTGGAGAAAACCATATCCCAGCAGACCAAACAAGATAGTGAAAACTGGGATTCATAAAAGCAAAAGGCCAGTGCCATCCCCAAGTTTTCGGAAGAAAAGCACCGGAAGAAATACAAGTCGACAAGAAAGCAAGGCATCAGGAACAAATGGAAGATAGATTTGATCTTGTAATCCGTAGTCTAGCCTAACTTCTTGATTTTTCTTTTTAGCACGGTGTAATAAAGAGATCAGTAAAGCAGTGGTAACAGCATACAACAGCAGTAACAGCAAAATCACAGTCCCATGTTAGGCCCAACTACCAAAATTTCCCGAACTATATTGACCTGATTCCTGTTTAGCCCAGGATATGTAGGAAACCTCTGAAGTAAAGGTTCGGTCAAATCTTTCAAAAAATGCTTCACACGGAGTACTCGGATGGGAAAAAATCACTCACTTTATCTTTGCACGAAAATCCTTCGTGTCTTCGAGCAAAGAGGGGCAGCTGTAAGCACGTGATTTTTTCCCTATGAAAGATTACTCCCAAAAAATTCAAAATAAAACAATTTTCCTTTGTGTGCAATTTTTGTATTTTTGTGGTATTTTTGTATAATTATTTGTATTTTTATCTGTGCATGTTTATTTGTTTGAATTAATAAAAATATAAAATATGTCGCATTTTCATTTAGTATTTATTTAAGTTTGTTTTTACAAAATGAGAAAATCATAAAAAAATAATATACGTTGCATTTTAGCATTTAACGTCTAAATTGTGCGATTTTATCGTTAATTGCTATTTAAATGTGCGATAATAGTTATTTAGTATTTTTGGAGTTAATTTAGTTTATAACTCAATTTAGAATTTTAGTTTTATCAATTAAGAAAAGAAAAAATAATAATAATAAGAAGAAGAACAAACTCGGATTGGGCCAATTTTCGGAATTAAAAATAGGCCCAAAACACTTCTACCCAACCCAAAACAATACCAGGCCCACACCCATGACCCATACCCTACTTGGTCCACAACCCAAATACCCAAACCCTACACTTATGCATCAGCCGTATCATTTTGTTCAAGAAGCTTCACCTTCTTCTTCTTCTTCTTCAAGAAGAAGAAACCCTAGAAAGAAAGAAAAAAACTAATCATCTCCAGCCGTCATCCTCGTCTTCAAGTCGCCAAACGACTTCTTCTCCTCCATAAACGTTGTTTCTTTTCCCTCACGAAACAGCCATGACCGTTGCTCCTTCTCCTTTCGCGAAACAGCCATGGACGACCAAACAAGCTCAGCTGCTCGCCTACGACGAGCAACAACCATCACTGCCACCTCCAGCTGCTCGACGCCTCACCACCACCCCGTTGTTGCTCCTCACGTCGACCACTGCCCAATGCCAGTCCAGCCACCCCGCTGTTGCTCCTCACCAAACCCCACTGCCCTGTCGACCACTG